TATATATATATATATATATACACACTGTAATATATAGATTGACTGAGTTCCACTGACACACTGACAGATCAATAAAATGCTGATGGCATTTCCGCTCCAAGACCCATGAGTGGCTCTACACCAACTTTGGAGATATATATATATATGGCAGTGGCAGAACCATAGCGACCCAGGGTTTCAGGTGGGCTCCGCAGGGCCTCTGGTGGGCTGTGCGGGGTCTATGGTGGGCTGTGCAGCAGTGAGTGGGAACATGTTCTGGAGGTAGCTCCTTTCTTTTTCTTTTTTTTGCGGGGGCCCATACAAAAGTTTGCTATGGGGCCCTGTGATTTCTAGTTACGCCCCTGATATATGGTATTGATAGAGAATTATGAATTATTAAGTTAATTTAAAGACAGGCTCTAGGTGATTATACTAGCAGAATCTAAAAATGACTATTTTAAATACAGGATGAGGGGGTTTATAAAGTTGACTAGAGTTCTCCTATAGCAAAGATTTGAAGCCACACTTACCAAGATCAGGCTGCTCAGCTCAATCTGGAGTCAGCATGCTTGCCGAATCTTGCTGAATGCCATGCGAACCGCCAGCATGTGACTGGGCAGATGATTTATAAATCATCCCCTTAGAGTACTTGGTAAGGCTGAATTCACACTATTGTGTTGCTGTAATGCACTTAGTGCACGTTGGTGGGCTGTGGTACCGTTCATTGTACAAGACCCTACTGAATTGTACAATGCACATGTATGCCTGGGGTACCAGGAAGAAGCACCTTTACTTACCAGATCCCTGCTCCCCCCTGGCAGCCGGCACCAAAATCTTCTCTTTCCGGGGTGTAGGTGGTCCATCAGTATCCTCACATACAGTGCAGGAATATTGGCCCTGCATTGTTCTTGTTGACGTCAAAGTGCCTGTGACCGGCAGAGCACCATAGAGAAGAGGCTGCGGGGGCCGGTCACATAGCATGGAGCGAGGGATCAGGTAAGTAAAATCGGGTGTACATGATACAAATTTTGGCCGGTACCCGATAAACTGGCCAAAATTCACACAGTGGGTGCTGCTGTCGGCACCCTTCCGCCCGGCATCCCTCGATTAGCAGATCGAAGTAGCAGGTTGGAAAATTCTTGGCCGAATGGAGCCAATCAGCTGCAGGCTCTATTCAGGTATTATGACAGCGGCTGGCATCAACATTGAGGACAAATCTATTCTATTTTCTTCATTCAGCCCACGTGTTGAACGGAGAAGATATATGCATTTATACCCAACATAAAACTCCTTTCATTGGTACATA